ATTAAAACGAGTTGACCGCAAGGCTAACTACTACCCCACCAAGTAGCGTAGATCAATATTGGACAACCATTCAAAACCCAATGCACTCAGCCGGTTTACACAGTTGTAGCCCACCTCGCCGAGGTGTAAATCACTGGGTCTCCTCCAACTCTCTCAGACTCCTAGATGCGCGTTGGGCAATCCCGGCAGACCGCGAGTACAACAAACAGCACCTCTGCCTGAAGCGTGAACTCACAAAGTGTTTGAGAGACGACAGAGAACCCTGGTGGACGCTACGTGAAAGGGAGATAGAATCAGCGGCTAGATGTGGAAACACCCGGCAGCTATTCCACCTCACTAGTGCTACAGTGCCCAAAAGACAAAACAATCTGCAAAGTAGATGGTACGCTAATAAACAACCTTTACCGGCGATTGGAATGCTGGGCGAAGCACTTTACATCGCAATTTAACTAACCCCCCGCGCTGCTCTCTTGAGAGTGCACCCTGGTCACTATCCACGGGACCGGCCACAGAATAGAAGATTCGAGAGGAACTCCAAACCCTGAAACGCCACAAAGCAGCTGGATCAGACGGTCTGACACGTGCCCTCTTCAAAGATGGTGGAGACGCTCTCCTAAGAGAACTTGTGAGATTGTTCTCGAAGATCTGGGAAAGTGAAAGTGTACCCCACACATGCGGAGAATGGATTGTCACACCCATCTACAAGAAGGGCTGCCGCAACCCCTGTTCCAACCACAGGGGCATAAGTCTGATTCCACTAGCGTCGAAGCTGCTGGCATCCGTTTCATTACACAGATTATGCCCATTCCGTGAGAAGCAAATCCACGAGCATGCCGGGTTCCGTGCACGCCGTGGATGCGTAGATCAGATCTTCACCCTACGTCAGCTACTAGAACACCGCCACACATACAGATGACAAACCATTGTCGTGCTTTTAGACATCAGAGCGGCTTTGAACTCTATCGATCGCCCCGCACTATCGAACTGTTTGCGGAGATACGGAGTACCCGAGAAGTATGTCTCACTCCTAAAAGCGCTCTATCACCAGACCTCGGGGAAGGTTAGNTAGGGCCTATGGTGAATTTTCACCCTCATTCCCTGCCACCAGTGGGGTACGACAGGGTTGCCCTGTCTCTCCATTTCTCTTCAACTTTGCCATAGACGATGTCCTACAAAACGCGTCACAACGCAGCGAACGCTGGCGTCGAGCTTCTTCCTGGGGACAGAGTCGTACACTTAGAGTACGCCGATGTTGCCTTACTGGGTGACAACGCACCAATGATTCAAGAGTCGTTGAACCGT